ATTCCACGTTCTGACACCCTCACAGACCCTGTGTCTAATGTCACAGGCAACAACAAAAACCCTTAGTATTAAACTATCATCCTTTCAATTTCAAAGTTAGAGATGTCATCAACAAGAATTTCCATATTTCGAAAAACGACCCTGAAACATCTTCCATTTTCTCCGATAACCCCTTAGTCTCTTTTCAACAGAGCAAAAATATCCGTGAAACCCTTGTCCATAGCTCCCTAACACAGGCTTCGACGTCACAGAAAGGCACTTTTCCTTGCCTGTCGTCGAAATGTAAAACCTGTGATTTTATAGATTCCACCACTATTGTTTCGGCACCTAAATCTGAATTTCACATCAAGCACCATTTCACGTGCACCTCCTCCCATCTCATCTACTGCATCTCTTGCAGCAGATGTGACATGCTTTACATTCGGGAAACTGGAAGATGTTTAAGGACAAGGTTTGGTGAGCATCGGCGTGCAGTTATTGGCAATGATGCTAACCAACCTGTTGCCAGACATTTTAATGATGGCAATCACAGTGTTTCAGATATGTGAATTCGAGCCCTCTGTCCCATTTCTGGAAGCAACGATAGCCGCAAACGACATGAAATGCGCCTCATATCCAAACTTGGCACTGTTCACCCTTCTGGCATTAATGAACGCTTTTCTTATGTTTAATGCCATCATAGACAATCCAGAAGACATGTCTTCTGTTTTGTCCATGATGCCATCTGTCTTTGCCTGTCTATAGCAGACATTGACAATTTCTATTTATTACTTTTACTTTTACCTTATTCCCACTCGTGTTTTGTTTTGATTATTATTTTTTGTAGTAATTCTCTTAACTTCCTGTTTATTTTTATATTTTTAATTATATTATATTCTGTAATGCGATTTACATATTTTGTTTACACTTTGTTATTATTAAATCCATCTAATTGATTTTTTTGTCACGTGATGCTTTCATACTCTTAGTATAAAAGCCCATGCATCTAACATACAATTAGTACGTTCTGTATTCGAAACAAAACAGAAAATTTGTGTTTTACTAATCAATTGTCTTCAAGCCGTGTCCGTATTAGTTGAAGTTTCATGAATGCCCTGTAACCATAATAATCGAGCTTCAACGTAGTTCGGGGTGTTGCTGATACGTGCTATTAATATACGCGTGTTAGATCTGCTCTCCTGTATTTGTAAGCTTACCTCTCACAGGTTCTACTAGAGGGAAAAATGACCACTGCAGGGGTAGATTGTTCGAAAATCGTTCACTTAAACGGCGTTTAGCCGCTATCCGGCGTATAAATTCCCTATTCGACGGTTAGTTATACCCGGCCGATAAAATTGCGTTGCATGCGCAAAAAAGCAAAGTCCGTTTAGTGCCGCGTTTAATTATTAACTATACGTAGGCTAACCTTTAAATTAACCGAAGATAAACGGATTTTCCAGAATTTCCGCACCTCTACGTTTGCTGTTACCAGGGACATCGCTATAGAGGGGTTGGGGGGGGAGGTGTAACACTCCCCCCATAATTCAAACGTTGGTCAAAGTTGGTCAAAAATGGAACAGATATTTGCCCAAAGTTGGCCTAAATGGAACTGATAAAATTGGTAAAACTCGGAAAAATTTGGTCAAAGTTTGGGATCATAAAACATGGTGGAAGGTGCTCAAAGTAATGAAATGGTTCGCAATTTTAAAAATTTTAAAGCTTTTGTTATGTTTGCGGCGAACAAATTGGAAGACTTGCTTATCTTGGTCGAAAAATGTTGAATATGGTTATGTTAGTCCGGTAAAATTGTTTGAATATGGTTATGTTAGTCCGGAAAATTTGTTTTACCTCTCTTCCCCCCCCCCCGGTCAACAACATTTTTGGGGAAAATTTGTACGACTTGGTCAAAATCCGAGGAAATGTTGGTCAAAACATGACGACACCCCCACCCCCAATGTCGATGGCTTCGTGACGTCCCTGGCTGTTACTAGGCATTTGTCTCGCATTTGTGAACTTTAGAAGCTTTGTAATTTGTGAATTCCACTTATTTAAAACTTTTGCAATAAAGTTTGTTGTTGTTTATATTTGGAGTTTCTTCGTCCGTTCGTTGCAATTACAGGTTGTATAAAAAAGTGAATACAGAATACGTGATACTCTTACATGATTCGAAGAACTATATTACGAAATTCGTTCGATTTGTGCGCGTGCGACAAGTAGAATTAAAGATCTTGCCAGAATTATGTTGCATTCAAATAAACTGCTTCAAAGTTTGCTCGCGGTGACTCTTTTACTTCATGTGGCCATTTGTATCGCGGCTGTACCGTATTCGTATCGAACGTTGTCATATTCCGTTCTCGGCAAACCCACCCACTCGTATAAAGTACCTGCGCCAATCCCAACAAAGCACAAATGGCTCAAGTCCAGGATTCAGCACTACAGCAATACCACTGCGTCATACAACTTGACTACCACCGCTATTCTAGCCTGTGGCGATGTGCATCGTAATCCAGGACCAGCTTTGAGTAGCTCTAGAAAACAAGATGGGGCAAAACTGAACAGTTTAAGAATTTTGTATCTAAACGCTCGTAGTCTAAAGGCAACCGCAGAATCTACGGACGACAAGGCAAAGAAAACCAGTAAGTTGACCATTCTTCAGAATCTTGTTTATCTCGAACAGTATGATATCGTATGTGTGTGCGAAACCTGGTTAAATGAATTAATTGTTGATAACGAAATTCTACCTGGTTACACCATTCATAGAAAAGACCGACACGGGAACATGAGAGGTGGCGGAGTCCTTGTAGCGATAAGAAATGAACTGCGCTCATCTCGAAGACTGCTACTTGAAGGTCAACAAAGTGAACATCTCATGATCGAACTGTATCCTGCGAACTGCTCGAAATTCCTATTAAGTCTCTTCTATAGACCACCAAATTCTGAAGAAGATATACTAATCGAGTTGAGAGACTCTCTTGATCATTTAGATGAATCATGTCAACTTGTTCTGGTCGGTGATTTTAACCTACCCAATATTGACTGGTCACTGGATTTTCCTTCTCCCACATCTGAAGGCAGTTTCAAGGAGGAACTTTTTTGCGAGATTATTACAGATCAATTCCTCTACCAAAAAGCTGTCGGTCCGACACACCTGCATGGTAATAAATTGGACTGTGTATTC